GGCCTTTTTAACCCCATTAATTTGGCCAAATAGCCAAATCTGAACCCATTTTGGGCCCAAATAGCCTAAATTTGAGCCCAAACAGGCCACTGATGCCATTTTCACTCCGTTTTGCCCATTCCTGACAGTTTTAACGGGATTTGTCACACATGTTATCACGTTACATGTTATCACATGTTATCACATGTTATCACATGTTATCACATGTTATCACATGTTATCACATGTTATTGCATGTTATCACATGTTATCATGTGTTATCATGTGTCATTGTGTGTTATCACAAAGCAACCCAGGATTTAGCCATTTTGCCTCCTTTTTGACCCATTTTTTCCCCTTATCGGCCATTTTTCCCTATTTGGAGCCATTTCAGCCCAWTTCAGCCCCTGCTCCTCGCGTGTCAGCCCACGTGCAGCTGGGACAGGCCAATATCCRCCCATTTTAGCTCATTTTCCTCCATTTTTCTCCAATTGTGGCTCATTTTATCCCATTTCAGCCAATTTCAGTGCAATTGAGCCCATTCTGGTCGAGCGTCACCCGAAATTCACCCATTTCCCCCCGTTTTGGGCCGTTTCAATCCATTTTTGGCCTCGTGTCACTGCGTGTTATTCCGTGCTCAGCCCGGATTTAGCCATTTTCACGGCTTTTTGCCCCACATTCCCCCTTYGGGCCCCATTTTCTCCAATTCCAGCCTGTTTTGGGGCCCCTCACCCCACTTTGGGGGTCTCTGAATCTAGTTTTGGGTCCCTGCGCCCATTTTKGGGGTCCCTGCCCCCATTTCTGGGTCCCCATCCCCRTTTYTGGGGTCCCCGGGACTCACCCGCCGCCCGGGGGGGCCCCCCCGAACTTCCTGCGCTTGGGCTCGGGGGGGTCGGGCACCCCGAACTTCTCGCGCCGCTCGGCCGCCCGGTCCCGGTACTTCAGCTGCGGCACGGGCACCCGTGGGACCCCCGGGATCCCCTCCCGGCACCCATGGGACCCCCCCGGCACCCATGGGATCCCCCCCAGCACCCGTGGGGCCCCCCAGAACCCAAAGGACCACCCCCAGAACCCA